GCCAGGCCAGCCGGGACGGGCTTCTCCCGTCTTCCACAGCTTGCTCAGAGAACAGGAGCCTGTGGAGCAGGAGACCCAGAGGCTCAAGCTCACGCACCCGGCGGGGATGTGTGCTTACGGTGTGCTGGGCTTCCACACGCGCGTGCTCACCTCCAAAGCCAACAGGGGCTTGGTCTCACTGGGAAGCTGCGTCACATTTAGGCCAGAGCTGCTGAAAGAACCAGTTTAGACAAGATTCCGGCGTCCAGTGTTTTCAGTCTGGCTTCTTTTACCAGCACTAAATGCAAAGCTTTTAATTAATAATAGACTAAGATGCCTGGAGCAAAGACTGCCATTATGAGCTGTAAATGCATGCGGTATCAGTCACATAGCAGCGTAAGGCTTCTTGGCTCTCTTGCAATATGTGTGTTGACGGTAAGTTATGTGACCGATCGTTCTTCTCTAACGTGTTACACAGAAATGATGATGACTTCCTAGACTACTACATAGAACACTTCAAAACAGATGGGAGAATTTCAGATTTAGTCTCTAGTAAATATGAGTTACATATGCAAAGAGTTCTTTAGTAAGGAAACTTCCTCTTCTTTTTACTATTTGAAAAGTCAGATAATGTCACAATCTGAACTAGCTTCACTATTTCTGGTATTTCTGTTTCTGCAGTTCAGTCTATTTGGAGAAGTAAAGATTGCTAACCACAGTCTGTGACAAAGTGCCAGTGCTGAAAGGAACATCTCGCAGAGTCTGGTTTTTAAAATTCTATTTTCAATATTTATATTTTGTTTCAACTTTGATTGGTGTGCTGTAGAGGCTAATCCTGCAAATATTTACTCAAGTCAAGCTTTCTGTATATAGTTCCTCGAGCTCAATGGGAGCTCACCTTAATGAAAGCACATGTTCTGCAGTAGCATTTATTTTGGACTGAGCATTGAAAAATTTAGTTGCATCTGCTAGCCAGGTATTTTTTTTAAGCTATATATATACACACACAGATATAGACACACACACACACGTATGATGATTATTTTAGGTTCCGAGAGAGAAAGAAAGAATATTCAAACAGTCACTTACTGATCTTCACCTGAGAGAAGGCTCAGTGAGACAGAAAACAGCAGCATGGTGAGTATTCTTTTATAGCATAAATAATACCTTAGACAATTGTTTCTAACAGAATCAATTATAACATTAAAAATTGTAGATTTTTTTAAAATGTGGTTTAGATATGTGGATGCAAGGTCCATTTTTTTGTTTCCAAAAAGCATCTGACAAACAACTTCTTCATCTATCCAATCTCCCTTTGATGCAAGTAGCGTTGCCCCTTTGAGAGATGAAAGCAGTATGAGCCCTGTTGGCCATGGGAAGGTGGGAGACCGAGAAGCTGGTTCCTGACACTTTCCCTTGTTATTTTCCATAAGTGAGGACAGAATTGTCCGTGAGTACAAGCGTGCTGGGATCACAGGTCTCAGGTTTGCAGACAGAGCACTACACTGCCCTCCTGTTAGCTGAGCTACCAGCGTGGCTGGGGCGGTTCAGTGAGACTGTTAATCTCAGCTATGCTGTGGATTTAGAACATGCACGTGCACAGCTGCTGTGGCTCAGCTGAGGTGTGATAAATTCTTAAGCTGAGCTACTTGATCAGGCCTTAGAGCCCATAGGTACAGATAAACTATATAATAAATTCATAATTCCAGGACCATGCCCACAAACTACCCTCCAGGTCTTCAAAGTGGACAAATTTATTTATTTATTTTAAAGAATTAACGAATTGGGTTTTGAAAAGAATCATTGGAGGAATCACTGATAATCTACAATTACTGCTCTGTTGAGATGGGGCTAGAAACAGTCCCCAGGACTGCTATTTTATGGACATCCTCTTTCACTTAAATGATCTCCAACACGCTTTTTCAGAGTGAGAGTGTCGGTGATGGAAGGTGGATCGACGCCAGTTCACTTCACATGGATCTCTCCAATCTTGTGACCTGGGCACACGCTCATGGGACCATATGCAATCAAATCCCAGCCTTGGAAATTGTGCAGAACACGGGTCATCCTAGCAAGGACAATTCTCTTCTGTGGATATGTGGAGTTGGACATGCGTATCACTGGCAGTGTGGAAAATTGTATGTCAGAAGCAGAGAAGTGAATGAAGATGCAGAAAAGAGAAAGAGGTCAGCATCTGCCGAGGCTTCATCAAGGGAAGCTGATTTAGATGAAAAGAGGTGGAGGATGACCCCATCTTTTGAGAGGGTGAAAGCAGATGCTGTTAGCACAGGGTGGCGTAGCAGATCTCCAGGGCTCACTCAGCAGAAAGACAACACAGTCTACATGATACATAATGAACCATCACCCAGAGAAAATAAAAAAAATAGCAAATGCATGAAATCATGCTTTGCAGCAGAGCAGCATTTGTCAATATCTGGTGGCGAAGTCAAAACTGACAGACATAAGGTGAAGCTAGCAAGCAACAAAGATCTACAAATTATGTCTGATGAAGAACTGTTTATATCAGACTCACCAATTAAAGGTGTAGGTGTTGAAGTAGACTGGCAAATGCATCGCAGTCAGAAGATGACATTTAACAAGCCGACCGCCACCCAAACATCTCGCTTTGCCCCCCAAGGAAATCTGCCTTTATCTCCTGCCTGCATTCTCAAATCCCCCAGCAGCAGTCAAGAGAGCCTGGACAGCAGCTCCTTGAGGTTAGGTCTGCTTAACCCTGCAGGGTCCATAACTGAAACTTCTAGAGCAAGAAATTCCTCTGGGCCAGCAATACCAAAAGAACATTTACAATCTGTTCCTGTCTCCAACACTGAAGTAAAGGCCCAGCTTGAGTCACCCACCCCTATGACATTCTTCGAGTTTGGCACTGCTGTAGATGT